CCTTTCTTAAGGGAGAAGGGAAAAAAATAAAAAGCTGTTCTTCCTTTTTCCTTTCTTTCTTTCTTTTCTTTTTTTCTTTTTCTTTTTTTTTTTCATCGCTCCTCGAATCTCGCCCAATTCTTTTCTTCTTCTTTTTTCTAAATTAAATATTATGCATATATGGATAATTATATGTTTTTTTTTTTTTTTTTTTTTTTTTTCTCTTTTGCAGAAATACCAAGGACGAGTGTATCTCGCAGGATGGATTCGTGCGGGGTCTACTTGTCTCAGCTACGAGCGATGCTCGTGAGAAATCTTCTTCTGAAGAAACGTGAAAAACGGAAGACCATCGCGGTACGTCTAAGTCATAAATAAATATATATGTATATATATATATGTATATATATATATATATATATATATATTATCATTATTATTATTATTACTATTATTTATTATTATTATTATTATTATTATCATTATTATTATTATTATTATTATTATTATTATTATTATTATTATTATTATTATTATTATTATTATTATTTTACTTTTCTCTTTGAGAGAATAATATTATTAACATAATATAGTATATTTAACTATGACGAGGATTTATTCAATTTATCGTTCGTCGAATCGACGAGTATGTACTTAGAAATATCGTGAGATCATATTTGTAAAAGTGTAACTAATTATACAGAGACGAAACTCTAATTAACGTTCTATCTAATTAGCGAAATATTTAAACTCATAGGAAAATAAATAAAGATAAGAAGTTTACAGTGCGTAGTCGGTAATTCCAAGCTTTGCTATTATGATCAATAATTAATACATAGATAAAGATCCGCGTATGCACGTTGCACGTTGTTTTTAATAGCTCGTACACGTAGATAAACCGTACACATTGGTACTAATAAATGAGATAACGACAAAGGAATGTTATAACATTCAATGAGACTGAACGTCATGTTGTATAATCAAACTACTTGGAAAAGCAGAACATGTGTTTTTTTTTCATTGGCTTCAAATTCGATACATACGTAGATATATGCGGCACGTATAAACGTATACATAATATCGTTTAAATAGGGAAGTAAAGAAAGGATGAAGGGGGGGAGGGGAAATAGAAATTGAGATTGGTCGTCAGATCGAACAAAAACGAGGTTTGATGAAATCTCTTCGTACGATATACAATATATATATATATATATATGTATGTATGTATGTATGTATGTATGTATATATATATATATATATATATATATGTATATATACATATCATATGTCCTTGCGTTATATGGAGTAGAAAAATATTTTGGAAATTGAATAAATTTTCGGTAGGTCTGTTTGATCAGTGATGCGTATATTACGTGGCACGATTTCGTTTTACTTATAAAAAAAGAAATGTAACGTTGTGGTTAGATATATATCTATGTACGTATGTATGTATATACAATTTGGTAAAACATTATCGATCGAATAATCATCGAGCGTCAGTGACTAAGTAACATATGAATCGTAAGAATTTCGACGAAAATAATGAGTCACTTAGATTGTTTTCTTTTTCTTTTTCTTCTCTTTCTTTTTCTCTTCTTTTTATTATATTTTATTTATCGCGAAGATGATTATCAAAATAAAATTATCAACGTTTTTAAATGACGATCAGAATCAACAGATTTACATTGGCTAGTGTAACTTATTCTTTAATACGTACATTACATTTATATTGCAATCTCCCACGTTGATCATTCTCAGTAGGATCCCATTTGAAAATAAAAATATTCATGCACGTTCTAACACTTGTATACGCGTATCGCACGCATTTCGTGCTCTTATTTCGACTATTAAAGTGGCACAGCTCCGGTAATGGAACTTCAAATGAAATAAATATGGAAGGATATGCATGTTGAAGAAGAAAAAGAATAATAATAATAAGAAGAAGAAGAAGAAGAAGAAAAGAAAAGAAAAGATAAAACAAAATCAATGATAATTCCTGGATTATTTTTAACGGAAAAATCTCATCGATGCGAGCTCACGTATTTAAAAGATAAAAAAGGAAGAAAATGAAAATCTATAATGAAGAGGCCAAATCCAAAGAGAGAGAAAGAGAGAGAAAGAGAGTGAGAGAGAGAGTGAGAGAGAGAGAGAGAGATAAAAAGAAAAGAAAAAAAAAAAGAACAAGGAAAAAAGAAAAAAAGAACGACCGTGTTGGTTCGTGCCACGTCAAATTTTCTGCTTAGGAAATTCGCTAGGAGCACGAAAATAGAGGAACATCGAAGATCGATCGTAGCCCCCGGGTTGAAGAGGGATGGCGGGGAAAGGGAGAAGGACGTGGAGGAGGGAGAGAAGGCACAGTTACGATTCCGTCGGATAAAGAAAAAGATCGATTGAAATTCTACATGCATTCTAGATGAACGTATACTTTGCCTTGGTGAGAATAACGAACGAAGATACACGTATATTGTTTCAAACGACGAAGAAATAACCAATGTTTTTCTTCGAGAAAAATTCATTTTATTGT